GTTTTAAGGCGTATGCAGATTTTATAAGTCCGCAATGACGATATAACGTGTTAGTAGAGGAACATCAAAATTCAAATTAGAGATAATAAAAAGTGACAAACACATTCCATTTAACTTACAGGTCCCAAGAAAACCAAGATATACAGTACAAGAAACCTCATTATTAACATTAATATTTCTATCATCATCACCAACATAAAATTGTCTCTCTGGTCAGGATTAGGCCATCCCCACCATTATAACATTTGAAGCTATTACCACATCAATAACACATTTTTTAAAATTTATATTTGACAGATTTTCACATAAACACCACCACTTAAAATCATTACTTACACTAGGTCATTTACCTAGCCAATCTAGTACTGATTCCTACAGAAATTGTGAAAAAACAACAACAAAACTACAAATACTTACAAAAGAAAATGTTCATCCCAAAATGGGTTGCTGGATCCTTTGATGACAATGGTCTTGTGTTTTTGTAAAGGACAATCCACTTCCACGGCACAGTATGGGTCACTACAAATTCCTCCATCACGGTTACGAAGACCATTTGCTTTGATTACTAATTTATAAAATAATAAAAATAATGACAACAATTTTACCTGAAAATTGTACTATTACTACTATTATAAATAACAGCTATTATTATATATTGCATATATAGATCCCAGGTATCTGACAGGTTAAAAAGAGGGTAATAATTTTAACCATCACTCATTCATATGATGTAGGTTGAAAGATAGTTCATAAATTTCCGGAAAAAGAAACACGATAATGTTAACAACGAGGGAGCCTTTTGACCGCCACAGATCAGCAAGTAGGCGATAAAACAAACATGACTTGGGTTGGTAGATTTGAGCTGCTTCATTGAAGAAGGATTATTGCTTCTGTTAAAGTCGATAGGAAAGTATTAAAAGGCAAATTAAAAAAATATGTATAAGGTATAGAAACAAATATTGACTGCTCTAGATTTGGGTAACAGTGGAATCTATAACCCCTCGGTGATGTGGAGACTGTAGCCTACTATAGCCCCTCGGTGATGTGGAGACCATAGCCTACTATCTCCCCCATTACATAGGGTATACAGATTTCATTGATTCCATCATGAGCAGTCAATATTTGTGTACTATTTCCTAATTACTAATTACATCACAAACTTTCCAAAAATGTCACCAATCAGCAGTAAAGATTTTAGCACTCTGTAATCACCATTCAGCATTCCAAACTTCACCCATCTGAACATAAAATCTTCAACACTTTGCTGTCCACACATTACACTATACCACTTTACCACTCTGTCGTCCACAATGTACTCTTCTGCAGATCACAGATAAACATAATGAAAACACTACTTCACTGTATTGAGAAAAAATCTATTTAATAATATATTTTGATTATTCACCTTTGACCATTAACCTACGTCCAATAGTCCTTGGTGGTTTTGATGGAGCTCCATTACTAAACATGCTGGTAATGTCATTCTGCAAGATTCAAGAGTACCACAGAGTTACTGTATTACAGTATTATCTAATTCAATCAATTTGAATGAATTGCTTTTGATTAACAATACATGAAAAAGGAAACAAGAATTTCCTGTAAAATGAATCCAAAATGTTAATTGCGAACATAAATGTGATTGACATAATAAATCATGCTTTCAGATCAGACTCACAACAAACACAACCTTGCCATTAAAGATGATGTAAGTGACTAGGGCAGCACACTAAAACAAAATCATTACGCAACGATGACTAAAGTTCAGTAATGTGTAACAGACTTTTTTTAACCAAAATTTAGAATACAAGCAATTGCATTAAGCAACATGCTGTAATATTAAGCTCAACATTTGCTGATGAATTACAGTAGGTATCAATACAACATTGTAGTGACATCATGTGGTGGTTACAAAAAAACCATGTGGTGTAGGAAGTGTAAGCTCTATATCATTCATAACCACATATTGTGTAGTAGAAATAACCACAATATTTGCCTTGAAGAAAGCTACTATTTTATTTACAGTTGAATGTCATAGTTCTCTCAGCAAATACCTAATGGAGTGACAGGATCAACAGTTACCTACTGATAGAATTGAGCTGTTCTAATGAACTGGACTAAATTGAATTCTCATCTTATAGGCATAGTTCTTTGGGAGTTAGTAAAGCTTGGTTTCCATACAATCGCTACACACTATTGCCAACAACTTCCGGTGATGCCGATTGTTCGGTCAAACCGGGGAGCCTTCCTAATTGCGTCAGGGATTGCTACGAAGTATCAACGATGCGCAGTTCAGCGATTTTAAGGAAACCAGGTGTTAGTTGTGCATTGAGCAATATGTTAAAGATAGGACCATATTTGGTAATAATATAAAAGATTTTGAGATGTTAGAGAGAACTGCATAAGCAGGCAATTTTCTGTAGTGCACATATTGCAGTCAAACAATGGCATTTATAAATGAACATGGTTGCAGTGGGCTAGTTGTGTTGTAGTGGACAGTTGATTGCAGTGGGGTAATGGGTGTGGATGCAATGGCCCCAATGTTGGCTTTCACTAGATGTGTAGTCGTAGTGGGCTAGTTATATTTAGTGAGGGGGTGTGATTGCAATGACCCAGTTGTCTTTCATTAGGTGTGGTTGGAGTGGGTATTAGCAAATGGCTATTTTTTAGTGGATTTAGTTGATTCCACCAGAACACAAACTAAGCTAGCTATTTAAAACAAATGTGCCACTGCAAGTTTGTTGTTACTAAAAAACATAATAATACTATAATCATAATTAATGGGTGGAAGATGGAAGAACTACAGAACACCTTTTGTATGGAAGCACTACTCAACACCATGCACTGGGTTAGATGATGTCAGCTGAGAGACCTTACCTACCAACGTAGGAATTCGCTTGGTAACTATGGCACGAAGCTATAAAGGAGCAAAACCAAGGTGGTAGCGCCAGGGTAAAGGTCATATGCAATGAACACTTAACAATTAATGCTACAAAAACAGCAACAATTATCAGCCAAGCAATTAGGTGCTGACAGTGGTAAAAAGCCAATTCTTAGTTAGACATACTCGTATCAAGGTCAACTGACATGAACACCATACACACAATAAAGGTTTATGTCCATTGACCTTGGATGTGAGCATGCGCAGTTGGAACCACGAATTGGCTTAGAGAATTGAGAATGCCAAACATTCTATAACATTAACAGGGTTCCAACTTTTACTCCCACAATTTAGCTACCAGTATACAAACCATCTGAACATTCTGCCACACGGTTACTTACTTAAGACATCTGACTGTTTGTCTTATAGTGTAAGCATTCATTCTAGCTATTGTTACACTTCAGTTACTTTCTGATGATAGGTACATCATCAAGACATACCGCATCACAGCAAACACATCTCCACTTACCACTGGAATAAATCCAGATGTCAGCGGCACAGTTGAGGATGATGTGCACAGCATGGAGTCATTGGAGAGTGCTATCGTTGGGAAATTCAAAGATGTGCATGCTCCTATTATAGCTCCCTTGACCACCTCCTCCACAACCGCCATATCAACTGTTTCTCCCTGTAAGTGAAAAAAATGTATGGGTTCAGCTAACTTGAATTCATGTTTTGTTATATTTCATTTTTTAGCTCTGATGAGGAGCTCTAGAAACATTCAGCTGATTGATTAATAGATCTTTTTCAGCCCTACTGCCTCTATTATACTGCCCTCATGAGGCTGATTAATTAATAGTTGATTAATAGATATTTTTTAGCTCTACTGCCTCTATTGTACTGCCCTAATGAGGAGCTCAAGAAACACTTGGCTGATTGATTAATAGCCGATTGATTAATAGACCATTTTTAGCTCTAACTGCCTCTATTGTACTGCCCTCATTGGAGCTTTCAAGATTATGAGAACTTCTTGTTACTTAAAAAGGTTTTGGGACTTTTATGACTCAACAAGCCAGAAATCCCAAAAGACCAATGCATAACCATCAATTGTAACTGCCATCTTATCACATACACTATCTGTTTCAGTTTGCCTACCTTGCTTATATTTTGAGGTCTGACTGAAAGATTGATGTTTGGTTTGCCATCAAAACTAGCCACAATTACAACTTCTTCACTTACACACTGTACACGAAATTGCATCTGAAAAACATTTAAAAAAAAAATTATCCACAGTTTTTCATACCACAAATTAAAAGACTACTCTTTACACACTGTTTACCTGCCAGTCAAAAAGAGACAATTTCACAACACATCTACAGTACTATTATTAAACATTTGTTTGTCAAGTTATGGCTGACAATGAGGGTTGGCTTATCTGACAGGGTGCTTAAACTCGTCTGCCTCCCCCAAACCTCTCCCTCTGGCACTGCCAATGCACAACACTAATCACAGAAATAAAACAACATTGGACACAGTCCAACTATACAGGACAATTTACAGCACATTATTGGACAAAACACAGCTAATGCACTGGACAAAGTAACAATAACACAATATCCATTGAATTCTGCCCTCAATTGTCTAGGACAAAATTACATATTATTATTTTATAGAAGATCAAATTCCATATTTATAGCATGGACCTATATAGTAATTACTCATTAATAATCAAAAACTGTCTTGAAGAGTGAAAATACAATTAAAACCAACCTCTATCTTTAGCTGAGACCATAAGTAGTAAGTGCAGCAGAAAAGGAAAATTACAAAACAATGAAAATGACAATTTTGTGATGTCATGTTATTAACGACTAAGATAATAGCAAAAGGACACCAAAAAAAAGACCAAAAAAAAACCAAAACAATGTCATTAAGAGAGGACTATGGAAATGAAGAACACTAACTAGAAAAGCTGAACAAAAATAGAATATCTTCACAGTAACCAAGCAATGCAGAGATAACCAAAGATGATGCACTAAGACCAGGAGAGTAGGGTTAAGATGAAAGGGGGGGGGGGGTCTCAACTGGTAAGGTACGGGCCTAGGCATAACAAGAGGAGCAGAATGGAAATAAAGAACAAAGAATCTTTTCATTGTCAAAAATTCCAATTTAAGTTTAAAATTATTTTAACATACATTTAAACACACTGACATTACACCTTATGTACCTTTCCAATAATTTCTTTAATGTTGACTTCACACGTTGTAAGCTTCATGGCTGCTGGAGTGTTTTGAGTTGCAAACGCAACTAAAGCAATATCCCTAGCTTCAACAATACATGATAATGTCTGAAAAAAAAAAAAAATATATGAATTACAACTAAAAAATTACTATGAAGAACAAATTGAAAAAATATTATCGAGACTTGCCATTCTAAACTCAGCGTACCGTCTTTAAATGTTAAACTGAGTAATCAGCTGAAGAGTGTGGCAGTATTGTATACTTTAGTACAGAGAAGCTAAAATATTAATTCTCTCATAACTTTGACAATAGTAAAGTCAATTCCTTCCAGTAAATGACCTTCATTTTCAAGCTTATAATGTGCAGAAACAATTTTCTTATTTTGGTCACTTATACTGGTTTAGGCATGGCGAGGCATATATTGAAATATTCTCCTATTTAGTTCATGGGTGCAGATTAAAAGGTTCCGAATATTTATAGTTTAATTAACAACATCAATCAATTAATCAATCAATTTATAAGGTGCATTAAACAATCTTCACAATGCACTTACATACTTTGTTTAACAAATTAGAAATGTCCGAATCAATGTAGCTGAAACAGTTTACCAATAAAAAATAGAATAGAAATATAGCACGTCTCGTTTATATTATTTATTATCAATGCAACTGAATTAATCAATATACCTACATGCTTTCTTCTTTTTTATGTTATTAAACACTTACTATGAAAATTCATGGATAGATCAATGTTTATTCATAATATATGTGACTATTGCAATGTAAAGCTACATTGTTATCTCACATAGGCAGCTAGCATTATTGATAAATCAAATTTTATTACCACTGTGACACTTTGCAATTAAAATCGCACAATAAATCTGTGGAATTCCAATAAAATCTAGTAATTTACCATCTGATCCCGTGGACCGGATTCCGCCTGAACCGAGCTAAACTTAGGAGGCAGACTTCCTGCCTTTAGTCGGTCAAAGGTTACTTGAACAGAACCCTGCAAGAACAAAACTCACATAATAATAATAATAATAATAACAATAATAATTTTAATAACATTAATAATAATATTATTATTACACTAATTATTTAGAGGTAATCTATTAAATAAATAACAATATTTTGAATTAATATCAAACTATAGTAATTCATAAATTGAAAACAGTAATTCATCAGTAATATAAATTGTTATATCAGTTTATACAATGTTACTTATTAATAATCTTGATATTTAATGAATTTTAATGAATAAAATAATATTTAATTAACATTTAGTTTTTCACGTAGCATTTCTAAGTGTCAACAATATCGTAATCACTATTACTACATAATCAGTTGCCTATTCTTCCACTTAGGCAAAATCAGTAATTGATGCTTATATATAATAATATTCTAAATAATAATATAATAATATTCTAAATAATAATCACAAAATCTCTAAATGTAGACCTGATCACCATTCCTAAAAATATAATATGTGGCGATTATATAATATCATACACACATGCAAATATAAATTTATCATATCTTAAAATACTACTTAATGTATGGTAATTAATTAGGAAAGGGAATGTCACTATGTCGATGACAAAGAGTAATACAAATTACTGCAACAAATTGAAATATCCTGACAATGAACATACTCCCTAGTTATATAAAATAAGAGATTTAGCTCCCTAGTTAGTTGATTTTCTGGCTGATTATGTGGAAGTGGTTTCCTTTTGATCAATCAAGAAACAGGAAATTATGACACCTTCATTCAACAATCTTTCCCTCTTACATCAGCAAAAGAGTTTTATTTCAGACTTGAAATTTGGAATGAACTTGAATTCATAATTATCTTGTAGGATCATTGACATATGAGTCATCAACTTGATCATTACATACACAATATAGTACAACAATAGCAAATTTAAATGTAACTTCATACAACACAATTAGCGATGTTGTAGGTAATCAATACGTGTAAAAAAGACTCTCAAACACAATTCCAAGCTACGTTGTGTAAACTGTCAGTGATTTGACGACAAATACAATATCATACTGTAAAACTAACTTTCAATAATAAAAATGTCCATTGTTAGACAGATAATAGTGAATAAACTACTGGACAATTGTAAAGCCAACACACCTTACAAAGATGTGTAAATCCTTTTTTAAAGATACTACTGTAAAAAAAATCATGCAATACCATTATTATTATTCTAAATATTTATAACTATCATCCCTTTATCTGCTTTTACCATTTTCATCAATTAGTATGAAATCTTCATAGGAGAGAAAAAAATTAAATTTTATTTTCTTATTTCAAAAGCAAGGGCTTGCCATCTAATCCCAGGGTAATGGGTTCAATTCCTGCCACAGCAGGATTTTTTCTCATCACAAAAAACAACTCTACTTCCTAGGCCTCAATACTATAAGAGACTTGGTTTGTAAAGCATCATTCCATCATGTACACAGCCGTTTCATAGTGACATAAAGCCATGCACCCTCTATTGCATAAAAGCGCAGAATTAGTATGCGCAAGTGTTAAAATACAAAACAATTCGTCAATTTTTGTTTACGGCTAATAAATCATGCTATCCTTTGCCAACAAATTAGAAGGCAACGATGGCAATGGCAATTAAAAGATATAAAATACAGACATTTTTACCGTGCCTATTATTACTTAGTAGACCTGTGTATCTACTGTACAATTAATCAATGGATGAATACATTCATTTGAAATTTTTATCATGTTAACATTAGTGCATCATTAATTTTTACAGGATTACAGTAGCTTGATAAGCTTTAATTTTATTGTACCCCTAAAACTAGAGTACATTATTTTATGTTTTAATTATTTTAATTTACATTATTTTCAAGGCCTAACTGTTTTGTGAGCTGTGTCAATTTATTTATGAGTAATAATGAGCTGATATGGATTTTTGATATAAAAAATGTGTTCAGATTAAAATAAGAAAATTCAAAGATAATTTATTAAGGCTATTTATAATTATAATATATAGAGACAGGTAGTAATTAAATAATTATTTATAAAATCAACATGAATACTAATACTTTTTTAAAAATATTTATGTTATTTTAATTTGTAGCCTGTATTTTTGAATTAATATTTCTATTAATAAGCATTGGGGGTCAGTTGACTAAAAAAAATAATGTTGGTGTTATCTGATGGCATAGAAAATGATAATTAACAATTATTGTTTAATTAGTCCCATTGATTATAATGCAATTTGTGGTTTTATTGAAATGAAAAAATACAATTAATTTTTCACTATAAAATAAGTTTACAATAATTAACATATATCTGTTCACAACATTTTAATATTAATATAAAGTAGAACAAGAATGGATAATGAATTATTGAAGTAAATTAATGGTTTTGTTTATTGATTGATGTTTGACATAATTTAATAATAATAATAATAATATATAATAGAGTTTGACCTAGATAATTTATTGTGTAAAAGATTTATTGTAATATGTGGCTATTCATTTTTACTAAATAAAAAATTTCATCATTGAAAAATGCAAATTTTGTAAATCCGGACGAAAACACATTTGCCATTCATTCTGCTTTCAAATTACTTTGTTTTCCAAATATAGGATGTAAAGCATTCTGGGTGCTTAATTAAACCTCCATCTAGTAAATTGTGTGGTGGATCTGGATATTCGAGAATGAAAGTAGAAATTTAGACCCAAATGAATGGTAAGGTGTCGATGCAAAAAACAGGGCAGATTGACTGTTGCCAGCAATCCAGGGGGTTATTCATGAACGAAAAAACAAACCATTCCGTTTCTGCTTACCCCATGTTTCTTTGCCTGTTCATTCAATGCTCTCATCCAATTCGTAACCACCTCTGGTGTTTGTGTTTGGTGCATATAGAACCAAGACACCAGGGAATTTATCCATTGACATGGCTCGTCTAGGCCTCCGACCAAACCACCCGGTCGCTGTGCAGTAGAATGACTTCCCGTCACCTGTGTCGGAGGTTGGCCTTTTTCGTCTCTAAAATCAACACTTTCCTTCCTCTTTCGACGTTTAAAATCAACTAATGAAACAACAGTTACAATTAAAAAACAAAAAAATACAAAACATAGGACAAAAATGTCTATAACATCGACGGAACCGGTTTGTATGCCTTCAGCTATATCCCCGGCATACTCCGCCATGTTACTGGCGATGTAAACAGCCCGTACCGCAACCCGATCTGCGAATATTCGGAGTTGCTCAGTCATATTTGGTGAAAGTAAATAGCTCATTATTCTTGACTAGGTGATCGGATAACGTCCTCCATAAATTGCTGTAACATAAAGGTCAAATGAAATGTTATGTATGAGCCCTGGCAAGTTTGGAATTCCAGACGGTCTACTTAGATGTAACTTATCTCGGTGACATGAGATAAGCTAGGCCTAGCCGCTCTCTCCAATCTCGTCGCACCTTACAAAAGACAAACACAAAATTATCGATTTCCCAACACACAAATTTTCGCAAAACAAAGCTGAATCTGCTGTTATATTTGAAAAGCGTTTTCAAAACAAATTTATACATTTTCCCCCCAAATTAACATTTATATAGCGCACATTTCTACAATATACATAAAATCAGCGGCGCTTTACATGACTAGTTTATTTTCTTAAAATTATTGTGGTCTCCATCCACATAGATTTTTAGAATATGTTTGATCATGTATATGTTTTTTATTTGTACATTATGTGGAAAATAAATAAATAAATCAAATCAAAAGCCTACAGAACTGTCAACATCATAATTATTAAAATCATTTATCACAAGTATACCATAATCATTGGTTATAATTAGTTAGCTGTCTCTTATACACATCTAGATGTGTATAAGAGAGTGATAATAGAATACATACTCCAAGTATCGAAATGCACGCCATCGTGTCTTTTCAAGTTTATACATCTTGAAAATATATTATGTACATGTATTTTAATATATTGCCTTTATTTCATATACATAATATGACTATTTGGTATAAAATATATTATGTACATGTATTTTAATATATTGCCTTTCTTTCATATACGTAATATGCCTATTTGGTATTTTTTGTATTTATTAGGAAGCCTCCACCACTCACCACCAGCCTCCACCACCCCCCCCCCCCCCCCCCACACAACAACACAACAAAAAACAAAAAGTCAATAAAATAAGTTGATCAAGGTTATTGTTTTTTAAAACAACTGAATAAATATTTAATTAAGCAGGTGCTAACGCTCAGACCAGGAATTAGGCGCCATGAGTCTGCGATGGATATTAATATTCATAAAATTATATTTATTATTCATGAGACTTAAATGTTCTAGATCTTGTTTAGTTTTTCTTGTATATGCACGGCCCATATGCTGGGTCTCCGTAGTTAAATAACATTGAACTTGAAATTCTCTATGGCAGAAATATTATAATAAAAAACACCAGAACCAGAAAAAAATGCGTGCTGCTGCGAACTCGACAAAAATTAAGTCAATTGCTGATAATTTAAAGCCTAATAAACGCATCATTGTGTAATATACAATGGTTATGACGCTCACCATGGCAGTGCGCGAGAGGGCAGGTTCGAATCCCGTCCAAGGAATTGTATTACACAATGTATTATAGGACAACATTCGTTGCGAGCTATATGCTACATGATGTTCGAAACACTGTATTTACTGTATTTGATTCTGTTTTAACACATAATCTTATAAATTATAAGTTTATTTTCTGTTATAATTTTATCCAAAGAGGCTAATTCATGCGAGAATTTATAATATTTCTTACTTCAATAGGCCTATTTACGATAGTGTGATTAATGAGACATTTGTTGATTAATTTATAGAAATATATAATAGGTATAAACAATTAATAATGATTTAGCATATTAAATCAATTAAAAAAATTAGTGACGCCGGGGCAATAGTTGATAGTAAATAATAATACAATGAATATCCACATAATTGTTGAATGCAGGGACCTATCTCTAGCAATACATTAAAAATACAAATTATAATTCGGGACAAATACTTATCTTTACATGATATGACCCATGTGAAGTGTATATCGTGAACTCAAGCGGTAAAGTATACGTACCGTCCCGATTCAAGGAATTACGCCGGGACCGTATTGATAATAGGCCTAATTAATAATGGCTACGATAACACCTTACTTGAATCTATTATACTGTGTATGACGATGGTGATTAGGCATACAGATTTAAAAAAAAAAATTCCTGGTGCTTTCTAAGACGGAGTCGACGTTAAGGTGAATAAAACTCGGGAAAATAAGTTCCAAAGGCATGTTTGCATCTATTTTTATACCATTTGAAACATCTTATTTGAATCTATTATAATGTGTATGATGATGGTGATCGGGCATACAGATTTCAAGAAAAATATGAAAACAGCGTGGTGTCCCTGTGCATTGCATACGTATTTATGACATAGTTTTATGTAGGTACTTATTAAAACATTGATACAAAGTTGTCAGTTATTTCATTTTAAACCAGTGTCAGTATAATCTTAGGAAAGCATGGTTAACATAAGCAAGAATTTAGTCCAATGAAACTGTTTATCATCTTGATACCTTCCGACGAAAATTGACCCTACCGGCGTCACCACGGTGTCCCACACCGATCGATCTAACGTGATGTTGTTATGTGGGTGTTTTATAGATTATTGAGAATGGTAATATCACCGAAAAAATAGAGATAAAATGACAGTTGGATGACCAACAAAAACAACTGAAGACAATAGTTCGTCATTAGAAGTTATTTAGTATAACTTTATTCGGAAAATTAATCTCAAAACCGAGTTGCCGTCCCCGACGTTGTCAGTGACGTCGTATGAATTGTGTGCGATTTTTATCAATTAACCCCTAAGTAAAAATAGTTGAGCCATGTAGTACCTTGCAAATTAACCCAGAAACCCGGTAGATTGTGATTGTTTATTAAAGGATTAATATATAAAATGTAACAACACCTGCAGTAGTGGTGCCCATAATGCAATAGCAGTGCCCATCTAAGAAGGATTAATATATGAAATATCAACACCTACAGTAGTGGTGCATAATGCAGTAGCGGTGCCCATCTAAGGATTAATATATAAAATATATCAAAACCTACAGTAGTGGTGCCCATAATGCAATAGCGGTGCCCATCTAAGAATTAATATATAAAATATAACAACACCTGCAGTAGCGGTGCCCATAATGCAGTAGCAGTGCCCATCTAAGGATCTAATATATAAAATATAACAACACCTGCAGCAGTGGTGCCCATAATGCAATAGCGGTGCCCATCTAAGGATTAATGTATAACATTACAACAACACCTGCAGTAGTGGTGCCCATAATGCAATAGCGGTGCCCATCTAAGGATTAATATATAAAATATAACAACATCACCTGCAGTAGTGGTGCCCATAATGCAGTAGCGGTGCCCATCTAAGGATTTAATATACAAAATAATATAACAACACCTGCAGCACTGGTGCCCATAACTGCAGTAGCGGTGCCCATCTAAGGATTTAATAGGGATTAATGTAGGCCTATAAGATATAACAACACTTGCAGTAGTGGTGCCCATAATCTAGTAGCGGTGCCATCTAAGGATTAATATATACTGTAAAATGTAACAACACCTGCAGTAGTGGTGCCATTAATGCAATAGCGGTACCCATCTAAGAATTAATATATAAAACATAATAACATGCAGTAGCGTTGCCCATCTAATGATTAATGTAGGCCTATAAGATATAACAACACTTGCAGTAGTGGTGCCATTAATGCAATAGCGGTACCCATCTAAGAATTAATATAAAATATAATAACACCTGCAGTAGCCGGTGATCTAAGGATTAATATATAAAATGTAATAATACCTGCTGCAGTAGCGGTGCACATCTACTGTAAGTGTATAAGATATAACAACACCTGCAGTAGTGGTGCCGATCTAAGGAATAGATATCTGTCGCACTTTGTAATAACTGAGCTGTCTCACTTTGTAAAAACTGTCTGTCGCACTTTGTAATAAAAAGAGCTGTTGCGCTTTGTAATAAATTCTGTCGCACTTTGTAATAATACACGATCCATGCTATCATCTATAGATTTTTGATAAATTCTCATTTTTCTCGAGGATCGAATTTGATTTTTTTAACTGTTTCGTATTGTATCATCTTTACTCCTTTATTACTCCTACGTTAATTACTACACAGGGCTCTACTCTGGTTAAATGAATATTCAATTTAAATTGCTACTTAATTATTAATGAACCTGCAGTACTGTCACCCATATAACGCTTATCAACCAAATGTTTATTTATTTAGGCACATAACACATGCACCAAAGATTGTCAATAGCGAATATATCACTGTCCTACTTAATAGGTGACGATCCCTTTTAAAAGACAACACACACACACGATCCTTTAAACAAACTAAATATCTCGGTATGAGGTTTAGGGTGTGGATTTTTTTGGTCATCTTGAGGATATACTCCAACACTGACAGGAATGAACCCAGAATCCTGGGATTGGAAGGCAATCATCTTAACCACCAAGTTATTCAACTCAACTCCATGTGTTTAAGGATGCTCCAGCAAAATAAAATTTGAGCTAGCCTTCTGGCATTAAAAAAAAAAAAAAAATATTATTAACATATTAAACCTATCCACAATTCAAGTCTGTGAGTTAAGAATAAAAATGGGACAAACCGAAAATGATCGAAGGCACAATAAACTTGAAAAATATGATTGCAAGGTTTGATAAACCACATGCACTAACATTTGAACAGTTGGAACACTATTAAGAAAAAGAGAGCAATTCGTAAATAAACCGCCTATTTACCAGTTATTTACAACATTATATGCAACAAAGGAATCACAAGACTACATTTCAGGCTATAATCTTACAGATGTATCATTTTATTTGAAAAAAATATTGAGCTGATCAAATGATACACATGGTCCTTTAAAACTTATCACTTGAAAATGTAGAATAGTAATTTAAAACCACTTCTAT